GGAGACGCCTTGGTACTTGAGTTACTGTTAGGCATTTATTTGGTCTTCGGCTATGCTAGGAACAGGCTCCAGCACTTGCGAGGCAAGATTCCCTCACCCACAACAGGCGTGATGCATGCGGATATTGAAGTTGTCCTTAGTGATGAGCCTTCACTTGCAGACGATCTGCAGGCTGCGCTGGTGAACCGTGGCATGTGGATTGACGCCCTCAGCGACCCGGATGTAGATGTCCGGATCCAGGCAGCGGCAGCTGCTGAGCGAGTGGCCGAGCGCGCCTGAATAGCAACATGGGAATGATATTTCTGGTGCATCTTTTCTGTTTTGCCGTCTCATTGCCAGAAGCTTTGTTGGGACGCCATGCCGCTCCTAGCAGCTGGAAGGTAGTAGTTTAGTGCTGGATATCATTGAAACAACTGAAGCAGTGCCGCAATGAGGTTTGCTGGAAATGGTTGGCCTGGAGGATCCAGCTTCAGACTCCATCATGCTCATGGCTGACGCACTGGGAACTGCTGTGAGCCAGCAGATCTCTAATCAAGGCGCCACTGGGCTCAAGCTCCATAATGTTTCCAGCGCACGGTAGCCCAACGGGGGGCCAGCGCGCAGATGTCCTTAAGGTTTTAATGGACGCCCCTCCCACCCCCAGACGTTCGCCAAGCACCCCCTACCGGAGAGGACAAGTGCTCTTGACAGATCCCCGAAAGTGCCGAGGAGAAGCATCCTGGCCCTGGGATGACGTACTTCCAACGCCGCTGCGTGGCCTCCTTGGCCCTTCTCAAGGAGTTTGGCAACCCTGCTGCCGCACATTGGCTGACTCAGCGCCCAGACTGCCTGCAGGGGGACAGCATGACAAGGTTGGGTTAGTAATGGTCAGTCTAGCTTCGTTGGCAGCCTGCCGCTGATGCGCTGATGAGATTCAATGACAAGTAAGGTAAGATTGCTTGTTCAAAGGGATGTAGTCAGTGCAACCGGCAACGCGTGTGGCATGTGAAAAGGTTTCATGGCCATCCAGATCCTCAAGTACGGCTCATGGTCGTGTGCACCACAATGACGCCTGGCACGCATGCACTAGACAGTTGTGTTGCGAATCACGTTAACCACGTGATCATGAAGTGCTGCCCACGACCCCCCGATTGACCCTGGCTGTTGTTGTAGCAACAGCAGCAGCAGAAGCACGAGTAGTACCAGTACTGATGTACAAGGCATTAAGCTACTGGCTACAGTGCCTGTGGTACTTTGTTCCCCAGAACGTTTCAATGATCCTTTAGTCCGTCTTCCCTCACTCTGGGGTCGAAGGAGTGCAGAAGCTGCCAAGCGGCATGCGCAAACGGAGACGAGTGTTGCTTTGTAAGAATAGTCGGCTCTCTAGCTTTTTCTGCATTTGGTGCCTTCAGATGACTGAAGAATTCGTTGGGGCATGTATTTGCGCGTAGATACTCAAATGGCTTTGTTCAGTCCTGCGCCTGGCAATCCATTGGCAAAAACATGTTTCAAGCCCCCTGAGGCGGCCTTTGAGGTAACAAAGCAAGCTGAAATCAGAAAGCAATTTGTAGACTTGACATGAAAGGGTCGTTGTATAGAGAATAGGATTGCTCGTGGCTTAATAAAGGTTCTTGGATATTCGGATGGGCATGCTTACCTTGCTTGTTGTCAGGTTGTGTTGAAGCACCACATACAACAAGCATGCGGCGGGGAGATGTCAAAGCTGATGGGCCTTCCCAAGAAGGAGATCTGCTTGATGAGAGATTTGCTTTTTGGACCTCGGGTCTGCTGTGTTCTGACCTTTCCGTCCACACATGCATTACATTTGGGTCACTTGGTTAGTCGGGCTCCCCTCAACCGTCTTTCCTTTTGAAATCGCTCCATGAAAGCTGGCATTCGTCAAATGTGGCCCCTCAGCAGTCATGTGTGGCCTGGCAGCGTGTCGCGCCTGAAAGGAGCAAACAAATGTTTCAGTAGGTGTCCAGAAAGTAGTTCAACGCAACAGCGACCTTTGTATTGAAAACTGTCCTGCAAGCGCCGAAGGAGCTCGACTCTCAGCAGGAAGCGGAACTCTGCGAAGCCATCGCAAAAGCTGCCGGGAGCCACCTGTCCTGTTTCGACAGATGATCTGGATGTGCTTGCAAATCCAAAGTATTGGTCACCCCGCACCAATCTATTTATAGACAAAGTGTTGCTTGAAGAGCCTCCGGACTCGAACTGCGGTTTTCGACGGTTCCCCCGAATCGAAGGTACCCGCGCCCAAGCAAAGCTACTTCTTCCTTGTGTGGAAGGGCGTGGGAGGTTTCCACGGTTGTCATGCCCTGGCAAAGACGATAAACCTGAAACAGGAAGTTTGTAGCGATACAGAATGAAGTCTGCACCAAAGCAAGCAGCGAGACTTGGACAGCACTCTTTCTGAAAGCATCCTTGTCCACACGGGATGCTCACATGGTGATATGGTAGGGAGGTTTTCAAGTACGTAGACTGGCAAGGTTCTGAGACCCAACAGCCTCAAACCCTGAACTTCTTTGCTGCTGTCTTCCTGTCACCGTTGTTTGGTGTTGCACCCTCAGAGGCTCTGAAGGCTGGCGACCACACCTCGCACGATATGAGGAGTCCGGCGAGGCGGATGACATGCAGTTATACATCTATATATGCATAATACTTATGTACACATCTATGTGTGCATGTGTGTAGGCATGCATGCTTTTGGTCGGCTTGGTATTGCCAGTTGTTGAAGCAGCTTGTTGGATCAAGGCTTTTGATCTGGAGTCTTGCCCTGCAGGTTGAGTCTGGGTTAGAAGGGTGTCAAATGTGATTTGATGGGCCTTGCCATGTGTACATTTTTCCTACTTCTCACACTTTCTTCCAAGTATATACTCCCCCTTAAGTAGATAGAATATGGGGCATTTGGGGATCTTATTATAATGTATATACCCAAAGCCATATTCTATCTACTTGACGGGGACTGTACACGGTTCCATCCTTCCTCCCTTATTGTCGTGGTTTCGATAGCTGCGGCAGGTGCCAAGCCTCACAGCGCTGACGCTTAAGTCCTGCACAGCGGATGATGGCAGTTGGGCGGCAATATCTGAGGCTTCAATATCGTTTGTGAATGTTTTTGATTAGTTGCTTTGCGAAAAGCTGACATTAAAACTTGTTCACATCAAGCTCTCGTTTCTTCATCAGCGGGCTGCTCTTCCAGTTCCACATGTTTCGCAGTGCTAGCAACTTCAACATACAATCTGCAAAATTAATGTTGTCGTGTTCAGCTTGTCGTGGGTCATCACTCGGACGCGAATGCCTGCTTGGCACGCCCGTCCTTACTGGCCTGAGACGTGGACCTGTGCTGAGGTGTGCGTCGGCAGCTGGTGAAGAGCCTTGCGCCTCGAGAGTTGCCTGGCAAGGCTGGGCGCAAGCAGCTTGTGTTGGTGTGGGGGTATGGCTGGATGGCGCTGCGCGCCTCGTTTGGCCTCGGAAGAGACCAGAAAGCAACTACCACAGAAGGAGTTTTGAGCAGCCATGTGCAGGGAGTGGCTGCGGCCATAGGTATTCTGGACATCAGGGTTTTGAAAACTTGAAAGTCCGCTTTGAAGACTGATGCCTCAGTCACAAGTGTAATGAAAGATACCCTCTCTTGCAGACAGCCAGGGGGAAGCCACTCTAAAAGACATTACAACTTACATGGGTCCAGCTATCATTAATTGCGCTGTGATACTGATCTTGGTCAGGCTCATTGTTGATGCTCACATGCGAAGAACCAAGCCGCCTATTAAGGACCACATACAGAGAAGTCTGTCCTGGGGTTATTGCCAAAATCAGACCGATTATGATACCTCTTTGCGTTACCATTGCTGCATTGGAATTGCCCATCGTCCTGTATCAAAACCTGTTTTGTACAGTTCGCAGCTACCTCAAAACCTTTCTCCAATTATTCATGCCCCCTCCAAACCTCAGAACCTTTTGCAACATAAACCCTAGAAGAGACATTTATGGAGGGTCCCATCCAACAGAAATTCTCAACCATATCTGGGCATTCCGTCAGGCCTTGGCCGGCCAGGGCTTTCCGGCAGACTTCTGTAGCAGCGCCGAGATTCAGGCGCGATTCAAACTAGGGACTCCTCAGATGAAAAAGGGTGGCGGATTTGCCTCACCCCCAGGTTCACATCTGATCTACTGTAAACAGCTGGGTCTCTGTGGAGAGTTATGTCTTACAAGGGCTATGCCGAGGATTTGGGGCTGCATCGATCCGGGGTAGGACGCAGGGTTTATAGGGTTTGTGGCCCATGGGCTTCAAGAAGATGCAGGAAGTCTTTTTGGGTTTTGTGATCTAGACAGCGCGGCAAACTTACAATTTGCAACTGTAAGTATCTCTCTCGCTCTCTCTCTCTGACACAACATAAACATATGAATCCCACTGGCCTCTATAACAAACATTCCGCCCATGTCATGGCGAATATTATCAGGATGGAGGTATTTATTATTAGGAAGAAGGGCCCGTGCCATCCAGGTTGCTCAGGGCCTTGCGGAGATGTTGGCCAATCCGGCCAAGCTTCGTCAAGCTCGGAATCAGGATACACGCAAGTCACGCTGGCAGGACCGCAGAGCAGCAAATGTCTTTTGCATGGCTCAGGCCAACGGGGCCATCAGGGATGGACATATGCCTCCGCTTGCAAGAAGGTAGCAAGATGCCTGATGCTTTGACCAAACTTATTTGTCACGGTTCCTGCGGGCAGGACCTGGCGCAGCGGAAGCAGGCATAGCAAAAAGGTTTGCCTGCCCGTGCTGGTGATAGGCAGACGCGTGTGGCACACCCCCAGACCATGGTAGAAAAACGTGCAGACTGGCAGCTTGCGATGAGCGGTGCCGTCGCGCTTATACTCAGGTTGTTCCTGCGACCATTGGCTAGCTTCGTTTAACAGCTTTAGAAGGTCTGCCACAGTGACCCCAGATGAAATTAAACCAGGCCCCAAACCCTGAATTGATCCCGACCCCTGCGGCTCCCTACCTTTTGTTCCAAGGCCGATGTACGAGTTGGCGGACTTCGGGGATCCCTGGGATTACTGGTCGGTCCATGCCAGCCAAGATCGCACCAAGGCTTTCTGCCACATCTACCATATCTCAGAATCGGGGGCTGCTTCTTGGGTTCACCAGGCATCAGAGGGCGAGGCTGTTGCCAGGGGTGTGATGCATTCTGCATCTGGGATAGCCAAGAGGTAGATGGCCTGGAGTACATGACGCCTTCGTAGGTGAGCATCGTCCAGAACAGCCGGTTCGGCATTGGCGACGTGACCTTCTTGATGGTCATCTACGGAAAGACGCAGCCTTAAATCGCACATCATCCATGACCATGTTGGTGATGCATCTCTCCTGCTCAATGGGTTTTAAGTCTTGCGTCTGTGAGGCTAGAGTACGTCCAAGACACGGTGAAGAGGAGCCTCCTAGCCAAGGGTGTTTGAATACTGGTGCCTGATTGACGGGCATTTGCCCAACATTCGCTGACTGTGTGGTTAGGGGGCGTCGCAGTACAGGGCTATGAGGGTGCCAAACAAGGATGCTAGGAGTCAATGATACAGTGTCCATAGTAAGCACCTGGCCAATGAATGAGGGGCGTTTTGGCAAAGTCAGCTGCATGATAGATCCCGCTCAAGCTGCTTTCTGCAACTCCACGTGCAACCGTTCTCGCACACCCTTAAGGACTTGACAGTCCGAGTTTGTGCTACCTGAAACCGTCTAAACCCTAATGTAATGCGTTAATAGGGACAATGGTGACAACAATAAGAGCCCGGCAGTGAGAGACATGCTGACGGCCATAACTTAAATACCCGTCGCCCTGCCGCACTGAAGCTCTGAATTTGTTGGCAAACTTCTTGAGCAGAGCTAAGTATGTCAAGTATGTCAGGCATTACCTGGGAGTTTCCCAAAATTAGGGGTACCTTGAAAGGGGTTTATGGGGATATATAGGGTTGAGGATTCAGGGTTTAGAGTTTCCCAAAATCAGGGGTATTCTTTTGATTAAGGGTTTTTGTATTGTGAGTATTTGGAGGTCTAGATTGGGTTCCCTATTTAGAGAAACTAGCACCTGTGGAATATTTGCCAGGCTCACAAAGCACACCGTGCATCTCACGGGAGGTCGCAAGCTTGAGGCCAGGCAACCAGAAGCCTTGCAGGGGTAATGTAGACCCATGATTGATAACCCCCCCCCTCCTTTTAAGGCCCAAATATTAGGATCCCTATCATAATCCCTATTAAGGGGAGGGGGTTTATTAATCAAGGGTCTGGGTTATAGACGGTGCTTCTTCGTGCTTTTGCAGGCTTCCGCAACTTAGTGACACAGTGAAAAGCTCTGAGCATTTTTCAGGCAGGGTTGAAGCCACACAAAGTAGATGGTCATAGCTGGCACTTGCATCCTGCAGGCGAGCTAGTCTTGCAGGTAAGTTTACGCGGTGCAGGCTTGACTCTTGTGCTGATCAGTTGGTCTAGAGCTTAAGTTTGCCCAAGGCATGGAGGCAACCGCAATATGTAGGCCAGGCGACCGGAGGCCACTGGCTTTGTAGCATAACTACACGAGGCCAGCGGCGCCAAAACGCAGCATACGCGTCATCAAGAAGCTGAGATGAGCAGTCGCAACTGGCTTTTTGTCAGGGGGTCACGGTTATCCTCAAGTCGCCCGAGGCCAAGCTGGAAAAGGCTGCGCTTTGCCCATAGTTTGGGCTAACGGCTAAGACTTCTGAAGTCGTAGCTTGGACTATCTTGGATTTTTGGCAGAGGCAAAATAAATGTAATGGACATGCTGCGCAATGATCTAGCAAGTATGGTGGCAAGGCGGCCTGCTGGTTTCTAGCTGGGGCTGGTGGAAACTGACAGGCGCTTGAAATGACGCATGGAATTCCTAGCTGGTGTAGACTCTTTCTGGCACGTTGTTCTCCACATTTTGGCAGTTTTCAGCTGATGGCCTGGGACCGCTAAACAAGTCAAAAGAACGCCTTGGAGCAATGGAAGTGCACTGTCCAAAAGGTATTCTGTGGGACTGCCAGGACAAGCCAGGAGAGACTAATCTTTGTAAAAAAAAGTCTACTAAGCCTTGCACTACTGATAAGTCCCGGTACACCCCAGCAAAAGAGAGACACTGTTTGGAGAAAGCCTGTTGGTTGAGGTTAGGCCTGCTGGGCGACTGGGCAGTTGACCGTCTGCACAAGATGACACAAATGGCTGGTGACCTCAGCAAGGGATCTTTGAAGGTGGTTGGAGGGATTTGCCGGCTGTATGTCGATTGGGGACCTAAAGTAGACAGCCAACAAGCCTCCTTGCACAGATTTCAAGGCAGTATGTGAGTAGAGGCTTTAAATGCACGGCACTTTTCTGGCTGCTGCCCAGAACGGCGTTTGGTGCGATGGCGTCCTGGCCTCGGAGTTTTGGTCACTTTGAAACCTCTTGACACAAACTTGTGACATAGACCCTAGCTGCCTCCCACGGAGTTCACCCGAATTATTCCATAACGAGAAATGGCCGTTATTTGAGGATTGGCGGCGCCCGCTTCTCATTGATGCCATCGGCTGGAAGCTTATGCTCAGCTACAGGGGCGCTTGGATGCACAAGCGCTTTCGCCTGCCAGTCCAAGCCAGACAGCATAAAGGGTTCTGCCCAAATCCAATGTCCAATGCTGAAGATGTTTTTTTTGCCTGCTTGCCGCAGCTTTGTGCCAGCTTCGAGTTGCCAAAGGCACTCAGATAGGTCCTCCCCTTGCGACACTCTGTAGAGGCATGGCTTCCAAGTTTGATGGCGCGGAATCTTGGCTTCTCAAGTTGTACCGTAAGAGGCCGAACACACTGAAATTGGTAGCAAAGCGCCTGCGATGGGCCTGCGTTTAAGGTGCGGGATCCTTTCCCCAAAGCCTGATGAAGCCGAAGAACATTAATGTGCTGCGGTCCCATGAATGTTAGCCTCCAGAGATTTGTTGTCTTCAGAACAGTGGAACTCTTTTGTTCATCTTAGCTTCACTCGGGAAGGTGCCAGACCATTTGGCATGCTTTTCTGTAACGATGAGGATATTTTCCGATTGGTCCTGGTGTTGGCTGCCGTGACAGATAGACGTACTGGAGACGATGGTTATCAAAGACGAGCCTGTGTTAGGACATGCTCAGTAGGTCCTTCCGTCTTCCCCCCTCTGTCTTGTTGCTTAATTATCTCTCATCACTCGTGGAACCCAGAAAACCTCAAGTGGAACACAGCAAGTGAGAGAATCGTAGCAAAAAAAGACCCGAGATATGTCTCACAATGAGGGTCTCTCAAAGTGAAGAACAAAATGCTTGTGCCCTTCTGCAACGTCGCGGACCCGAATTTTTCCTCCGCCATGACATTGTCATGGAGAGTTCTTCCTGACAAAATTCTGAGGAACTTTGTAAGCTCCAAACCATTACAACCACAGCAAGGATTGTTCCTGGCCTTCGGACGAGGAGCTTCAGCAGGCAGGCTTGGGCAGAACAGCCAGTGTATGTTTCGCCAAGTTTTTCGAAGCACTCCCCTCCTTGTTGCTCATCACTACTCAGAATCTTCTACTTGTTCTTACCTGTCTATGTATGGAGTGCACTTCCTGAGGCTTAGGCTTATGAGCCTTGAGCAATAAGATGCAATAATATAATTTGGAGAGCAGAGGCTGAGCACGCGTTGCATGGGGTGAATATAGGGATTGTTAAAGGGGTGTATGTGGGGATAATGGAAAAGAACATGGAAACTACTATATTCGAGTATATTTCATTATCAGTTTTCGGGAACTTGAACTGCCTGTAGTTTTCTAGACGACCCCCCCCATCGAAACTTCACAAAAATCAGAGATGCCAAGCCTGAAATCGATCGATCTCACTAGCAATCCCTATGCTCAAATCCTGAATCCTAGTTAGAAACAATCTTCGTAAAGTAAACCATGTCAAAACAACCCCCATTTGATGGAAGCCGGAGGTACAGGAGATCAGAAAGATCTGCGCAGTGGCTTTGCTTGCAAACGTTTTTTTTTTGGTGTGGTCTCTCAACGATGTTTCGTCGGGCGCTGCATTTTTTGAGAAACGCCCGGTTGGTGCTCACATCAATACATTGCAGAGAAATTGAGCTTTTGATATTGTAGGGGGCTGGAAATCTTGAACTGTACGATTTCACTTTTATGTTCAACAATGCATCCATGGATTTGAACAGCCCGTGACCCTGAACACGACCCGACGCCATAGTCGCTGGTAGCTGGTAGCGACCCGTGCAAGTAATTATCCTAAACAACCTCCCAAGACCTTCAAAAAAAGAATCACATATCTGCAGGCTGAGATCGCTGCCATGCCTGAGCAGCCAAGGGATGCCACCTGGCTTACCTGGTCAAGTTCAGCAAGAATTCGAGACAACCATCATACAGCAAGTGCGCGCATGTGACTTTTATTGTAACTGTATTCACTCAAGTGTTGAAAGGTGATGCTGTTGTCAAATGTCGAAACTGCAAAGGTCGCAAGGGTGGTAGCGAAGGATGAGACACAGGATACTGCTCATACATCCCATCTAGTAGTCGCAATAGGATGGGCTGGGGCACGCCTGCCCCGAATTCAGCCCAGTTGGGCCTTAGATTCATGAAAGGGGATGTCGTGCTTGGTTCAGCGATGATGTGATTGCATCCCAACTTGATCATTGAGCAATCACCAGGTTGTGGGTGACATCCGGGTGTGCCGGTACCTGCGCTTCTATGGCGGCAAGGTCAACGAGGTTGGCTGATGTTTGCTGGCAAATCCTAGATTTAGACTTGTGGATCAAATTGGAGCACGCAACTGCACCTGTACATGTAGCACCGAAGAATCCCGGCAAACCTGTCCAAGCGTACATCGGGTGCATCGTCCCTGGAGTCTGGAGCAACTGCGCGTAGGCCGCCAAGGGGCTGTCCGAGTTCCTGAAATGGTGGGTGCAGGAGGACATCCCCGCTCTGCGCAAGGCGCGCATACCACTAGAATGCATATCCTGGACCTCGCTTGGGACCTGGAGCCTTGCAGTTTGAAGAAGCAAGACCTCCTCGGCAGAATCACGATTAGCACGTGTTCAGCATGATCGGCCCTACCATACCAGCGGCGGAAGGCCAGCAGTATAAGGATGAACTTGTCATTTTGACAGGGGAAGGCCCTAACAACTAATCAGCCAACATGTTGACCATCAACCGGCAAACGGTCCAGCACGATCAGCCAGCCAGTTATTTGCCACGCCAGCATCACAACTGCAGCAGCCTTCACTCTTTGTCCTTTGTGCCAGGGAATCATCGACTTGGAGCCGGATGACTTCCATGCTTGGCTGGACAGTGTGAGGTGTGCTTAGAGGATCAGGAAGGATGCTTGCGGTTCAGGCTGTATGGATATAGTTGTCCAGCCTGACCCAGCTACAGTATCCTTTGCACGGTTTTGTAGGTAAGAGGGCTTTCAGTGTTTTTCACTACGGTGGCCCGAATATTCCTTTGGTGCAAGGCGAGCCTCCTCGATGACAACACGAGTGCTTATAGCTTTATGTCATGTCAAGACTGTAATGGAGGAGTATTTCAAGTATGAAGCTAAGTGCTCTTTTAACCTTTGCTCAATCGCAACTACCAACTGTCAATATTGGATATGGGTTGTATTGTTAGGCTTGGACCTGTGCTTCGCGCTTCGAGTCCCTCGACGTCTAAACAAGCCTGAAGGTAATCGATAACATTACAGCTTGCCGTTAAGCCAGCCACTGGTTGGCTGAAGAGCTGGAATGTCTTGCCTCAAACCGTACTTTGCCGAAATAAAGCTACAACCGCGGCAGTAGATGATTTCTTGGTGAAAGACCACGCTGGGGCAGGTCACCATATTCTCCAGTCATGGTGCCGGGCTTCGCGGAGACCGAGGACATCGTGCACCCTGCGACGACAGTGCATTTTTGTCAAAGTAGACCCCAAACACCTCGAAGATGCTACACGACATTGACATTTGGAGTGATGACTGATAGTTACAGGTATCGCAGGACCGCTAGGCAGTTGTGAGAAAGAGCATGCAGAATGCTACTACTGCTGCTAGCATACTAGCCATCTGCATCTGTGATGGGAGGAAGGCCACACGGTCATCTTCGTATCTCCGGGGTACTTCAAGGCTTATGGGTGGCTGTCGTCCCGCAACTTTGTGCTGTGCGAAGCAGACGTTCTTGAAAGACAGAGTGTGCAATGTCCGTCGCGCAGGCACAGGAGTTTGTGAGCCAACGGCCGGCATGCCACACGATGGATAATGATCTGATGTTGGTGCGGGCCGGCATGGAGTGGATGATGAAGCGAGTGGATGACAGATCCTACGAGAAGAAGAAAGTGCTGTATTCCATCAAGGTGATGCTCGACCGTATAGCATGATACCCAGTGTTCGTGCGATCCATATACATCCCAGATTATGAGGTGCCTTAATTATGCAGGGCCCAAAATACATGCCTTTCATGAATTGAGATCCCGCCGTTTGCAACAACCCATTTTGCGCTCAGGATTGATGCGACGCATTTGGGAAGGGAGACGCTTCCAATTCGCGTGTATGAAATCCGTAAGTTCGCCCAAGACAATGGCAAGCAGTTGATGAGCATGTATTGCACCTTGGCCCGCTTCTTCTCCAAGTAGTCAAAATGTGTGGGCATTGCGCTCTTGCAGACCGACTGCCGATCGTATGCCGGGCCTTGTGGTCAAAACCAAGGTGATCATGATATTCTCCTGCTGGTGGTGAACGCGCCTTGGATCATCCGCTTTGTTGTCATGTTCGCAACGACCCTCATGACGAAGAGGCGTGGCAGTTACCTGAATTATTCCACGGGCGAACGTTCTCATGATGGTTGCCTGGGCAAGTTTGCTGCGTCATAAGCCTTCGAGGATGTTGTCAATAGATCAATGAAGTCCAGGCAGAGAAGGAGCAAGCAAAATGCATAAAGCCAGACTCGAAACACCTGGAAGTCCTCCGGCCCCAAGCATTCTTGCAGCACAGCCTTCCATCGCCTGCCATGTTGAATCTTCTGAAGTCTGCCAAATTCACGGATCATCTAAGTCTTCCCTTACTTAGCTTGTCTTTGTTCGCTGTTGGTATTGTTTCTTTCTTATCCTCTGGAGCGTCTTCGATTTGAGACTCCAACTCAAGATTGTCAGCTGTAAACTCGGGCTCCAGCTGTGCTGATCCATTCTGACAGGCAATCTTCGCGAATCAAGGTTCTTGGCAGCGCGTCTGAGGTGGATGTACAGGCCATGGCACAATGTGGGAAGGTTTAACGGTGGCTGCAGGTTTCCGATCAAGTTTATTCCTGTCGCCTTTGAAGGCTCCCTGGCTCCGCAGGCACAGCTGGGCATGGTAGGGCCGAAGAGCATGTTCCCGCCATCCCTTGGAGGCCAGGTCTCCTGAGTGTTTCTCAGCGCTGTTAGAGGTTTCCAAGTGCCAAAATGTATAGGTCATGGCCGAGTGGCTCAAAATCCTGAACTTGGTCCTTAGGTTCGGTTGTTTCGGGGTATATGAGGCAAGGGAGAGAAGATGAATGAATCACACAGAAAATTTACATGTCCCTGTTGATGTGTAGTATGTAGTGTTTTGGCGATGCTCTGCTTGAAGTCTTCCTCTGAGTAATCTGTGAGGGAGGCAGCAGAAAGGCTGCTCAAGGCTGTTGAGCAACGCACGTTTCATTTTGCCATGGAGATGAAATTATCAGCATGGGTCGTCTTGTACCTCCACCACAAAGGAGTCAGGTGGAGTCAGAACTCAAGAATGGAATTTAGACTTTAGACAGCAGCGACACTGGCAGGGCTGTTGGCACTTCAGCTTGGCTTTCCGGATATGTTGAGACAGGAGGATCCTAACGTGCCGCCATACCATGCTTGCCCAAGTGCACCTCAGCCTGAGCCTTGAGAAGGTCAACCTTCAGCTTGTCAAATGTGGCTAAGGATGCTACTTTAGGGAAGAATGTAGCGAGGATCTTTACCTCGCAAGTTGGACACCTTGCGCAAACAGCAAATGGAGGGAATGAGATCATATTCGGCAAGAGACCTCTTGTGTCTCTTGCGGTCAAGGACTGGGCCGGTTGGGAACGAAGCCTTATCAGATGGCTTAGCCACCATGCCCTTTAGATGGCCGGACAGCATGGCAGCCTGGCAGGCACCCGGAAGCCGGAGGAAATCCCTTTTTACCTCCCGCTGGCCCAAGAGAACCAGTCCAGGACAGCTCATGTTGCTGCACTTGATGAGTAGAACCATGATTAATAAACCCCCTCCTTTTCAGGACCTTCATATTAGGATCCCTATGATACAGGGCCTCAGTTTCGATAAGGCGGCGGGTAGCGTGCGGCATCTTCATGTCAAGCGCAGGATTACGGAGTGGATGGCTCGAAAGGAGGCAGGTATCACCAGAAAGGGCACCCTAGCTGCAGAGCGAGCCTCTTTGTATTCATTGGGGTAATATTAGAGTTATATGTGGGTAGCGGAAAATACAATGGGAACTATATAGTTAAGGCTAAAATTAGGTTCTCTTGGTCTTCTTTCACAAAAAGATTTCATCTTTCAACAACAACAAGCAAGGCACCCGAACATGGAAACTACCACATGATGGTTCACATATCTTCCCACGTGTCTTTCCCATCTCTCCTGGATGACGGAACGACATGAGCCTTTACGGTGTATTTGGGGCCATGATTCAGATCCCCAATTCAGACCTCAGATGAAAGAAGCTAGAGCAGGCTATCTGCAATTTACAATTCACTGTCTTGTGTGACTGCGGGTGGCTTCTTATCTAGCTATGGATGGAGTGGCCAGTTGCAAAACAGAGTTGTTATGAGGTGCTACGAAACCGCCCTCGCCTAGCGCCAAGCCTGAGAAGACGACCAAGGAGGCATCTGAACTGGCTGTCCAACATTTGCGGCTTTGAGGATGTGTAGAATGGAGGCCACAGTTCAAGATGGGCCCAAAGAGTTCCTGTAGTCCTCTGCGTGTTTCCCAATCCAGAACCCTTGGAATCGTTGTGGGCTGTGCCTGCATGCAGATACAGGGGCTCAGAGTTCTTAACGTCAAGGGCATCCGAGGGCTGCATGATGCACAGCTGGATTTCGCCTCTCATAGGTTGCAGCTGCAGAAGCTACGACGCCCATTGCCAATGTGGAGCAGGAGGATGACCTCAGCAAAGAGTAGAGTTGATGTCTGCCCCACTCTGTGATGACCTGATGACAGCATCCCTTGCAACAAGCCTTGATTCTGCAGTGGCAGGAAAGTCAATTATTGTTCGCTTGAATAGTCATAGCGCGCGAATTCCACAGAATAATAGACGTTGCAGCAGGAGGAAGCCGCGACAAAGGTCTCGGCTGAGGTCGCATCTCAGGCGGCAGTGGTCAAGCAAGAGAAGGAGGAGGACACCTGCGGAACATGCCTGCTTGATGGATCTAATGCTTACATGCCGCTGGTTCTCTGGCACAGGACTCAAGCAAAACAGCGATAGCTACGGCTCAAGCTATGTAGCTTGAGACGGGCAAGGAAGTTGACCCCCCCATTGCATTGTAGCCATGGCGTGGCTTGCTCTGTTTTTTGTCTTGCAACGTGCGAGCAGCTCAAGTGCTGAAGTAACCAGCGCAAAGCGCTGGATGACACCTCGCATGTATGGGAACTTGTGCTGAAGGTGGCGGAAGATGACGAGCCTGGCTGTACTTCCCCGCCCTGGACCAACAGCGATTTACTTGACCAACAGCGATTTACTTGACCAGAGGCTACTGATTGCTGAGGAAGTCAATCCTCATATACGTGTTGAGTCCTCCCAAAGTTTGGCGTGACGAAGGGCGGTTCTCAAAATTGTCGCATGCAGCGGTCAAGCGCAAGGATGGCAACAACGCTCGCTTGAACTGCGCCAGTCAGGGCTGTCAGAATGATGGCTGAGAATCAAGAAATCAAGAACGCTGGGCTTGTAACAGGCATTCTGTGACGCAAGCTTTTAACAGAAGTTCCTGTGTTTCCACAAGCTATTTTGCAACAAAGCTCCTTTCTGGGGCAGAGCTGTACCAGGCATTCGCAACAAATGTATGTAACACCAGGCTGCGAAAGCAAGGTATGCAGCAGGGGTAGTAGTGGGGGGGCCGCTACAGAAGGGGTTTTGGATCCACAGGCCAGTGACGACAACGATGTGGACGCAGCCATCGGTATTGGTGTATCAGCTTAGCATGGAAGATCACCTCTACAGAGATGGGAACAGGGTGGATGCAGCAGTATTTCGCATGAACGGCTAGCACGTGCAAAGCCAACTGCATGAAAGTTCAAGACATTGCCAGCTTGGAAATATCATCCAGTTGTACAGGCAACGACCAGCTATTGACTGAGCACTCGACCATTGATGTGGAGGAGAGTGCCATGTACCAAGCATACCTGGACCAGCCAGTCCAATCCATCAGCATGTGCAACCAAAAGCCGCGTTCTAAGTGCATGAATCGCACCCTGCAGAGTACAAACAACAGCGCCAAAGACCTGTTCACCTCCAGCTACATCGGCGATGCCACGTTGGACCGCGATTGCAACCTAGCCACCTGCTTCTGCAGCTGGGTTGTACAGGACTGTCCGGCACAGCCGCTGGGCTTCAACGTCGGCACGGCGACAAAGCTCAGTGGGGGTGCTGCCAGCAACGACGTATCGGGCTTGCAAGGCCCGGCACTTCTACGAAGATGGGAGCAGGGTGGACGTAGTAGTTCGCATCCGGGAAGGGCACATGCAATGCTGCTAGCAGCTTGGAACAGCTGATGGAGACCCAGGCAGTCCGCTGTTACACCTGACTGCGTGTACATCTCAAATGCTACGTGAACTCAAAGACCTTGGGTCGCTTGGCTCCATACCTCGGGGGAGTGCTTGGGAACTGGGAATCTTGGGCAAGAAACTTGGCAAGGATGCGTGGACCGAAATAATTAAGATGAGTGGCGTCTTTTCTGCTAGTGTCCACATAAGGCACCTGCAATTATCACTGCAGTGACTATAACGGCCTCAAGCTGCTTTGGCATATCACAGCCAGGGCACGCCACGCCGAAGTGCGAGCACCGCCCCCGTCTCCAGCTCTTTCAGATTCTCTCTCTTCACCCGCTTTTCGCCTGGGTCGCCCTCATTCAGGAGCTTCTCTGGAATGTGGCTCAGGTCCTTGCCAGGGATACGGGCGAAAAGCGGGTGAAGAAAGAGAACCTGAAAGAACTGGAGACGGGGGCGGTGCTCGCACTTCGGCGTGGAGTGCCCTGGCTCTGCGCTGGTGAGCCTTTGGCAGACTGCGAAGCGACCTACGCGGACCTACGCGCAGGGTGCTTACGGCGAGTACGTCCAGTGCAGAATCAGCGGCCCGAATTGCTTGACCACGGCCCTGCCTGTCGGAAGCCAGGCAGCTGCGCAAACTGAGGTTTTGGGCAGATACAACTCTTCTGCTGGATCGCGCTTTGCGACAACAAAGATATTCGCGTTAGTTCGTGCCCAAAACATGCTGGCCACATGTTTTCCTTGCATGTCTTACAGCTCGGCTGGAGGAAACATTAACATGATTCTAGATGGCAGGCAGGGTATAATCCCCTATTCCTCTGTCTAATGTATCCCTTTGTTCCTGACTAACTCCAAGATATACCTAAACACTACAGCTCAGCTCGAGGAGAAGCCCGTGCTCTTGGAGGAGGCCCCGGCACCCAGCGGAGGCGGTAAACTGGGAAATCTCTGAGTCCTTATGCAGGGTTTAGGGTTTAGGGTCTAAGTCCTTGTACTTATTGGGGGTTCGTAGGGAATATATTGGGGCTACATAGGGATAATGGAAAAGAAACTGGAAACTATTGCATTTGCGGATTAGAACCCAAAACAAAAGTTCTCGGCCATAGTTTTCCCAGCCGGCTCAAAAAGTTTCATCGCACTCCAGAAATACATGGAACAATGCAGAGAAGATTAGGGCCCCTCACAAACTTATGCCCCATATAGTGTTCATGTCATTTGCTTTGGGCCGCATCGCTTAGGTCCAGCGGCCCTAAGCAACGCACAGCGTAGCTAAGCAACGTAAATGGTTCCGCATCAGCTTAGGTCCACCGGCCCTAAGAAATGCAGCCTCAACTGGCCCATGTGGAATGAAAATTTAAAATCACAATCTGATGGGCTGCGCTCCGCAAACAACCCCAGGGTCCAGGCTGCAAAACTAGCAGGAGCGGAGGTTTGCAATTCCCCCAGTGGCAGAAAACTACATGTTTCTGAGTTCGGACTAGGTAGGATATGCAAATTACAAGGATTCTGAATTCGAATTAGGATTGCCAGGATTAAGGATTAGGATTAGCTCCGAAAATTTTTGAACAAGCAAAATGATAATTGGGTGTATGCTGAGGTTACTTCCCAAAGTTAGGGGCCCTTTAATAAGGATTAGATTATAGTATATTGGGGTCTATATTGGGGCCGTCCCATTTCGGCAAACTACCTTGCAATCAAGACTGAAGAACCATTTGAGGAACCTTTCGTTACCTTAAGTCTCAACCCTAAACCCTAAACCCTTCAACCAGTTGCTTGCTCTCCCATGTCAATGTGCTGGAGTTGACCCGTTCACACAGTCGTAGCCGTGCCTGCTGTGCGCGATGCGCGTGTCTAAACCCTTCAACCTTGAAGACATGCAACTGACGGGTGACATTTGTACATTGCCAGGGTTGACAACTCGCGAGGAAAGATCCTTTAAATCCTTGACGGCTGGGCGGTTCTTTGGGAAGTAACCCCAATACGCGCCCAGTTCTGATGTAGTAACTTCCATTTTCTTAGGGTTTAGCGTGAAGTACAGCTCTTATCATGCCTCTGAAATTGGAGATTTCCAAAATTAGGGCTAGCTTTCTGGGGGTCCCTATAATAAGGATGATAATATGTGGAGTTCGATATTGGGGTCTCCCCCATGAATTGTAACTACCAAATGCCCTGAACAATCTTGATGCAACGACTGCACACATGCGTTTGATATTGACTGTCTTGTCACAGTCTTGTCATTAGTTTCTGTTTGTTTGGGCGCCTGGCTTTCTTTGATGGAAGGCCAGCATTTGCTATTGAGCTTTTGTGATTTGGAGCTCTGGAGGTTTTAAGACACAAGCCTTGAAGCTTGAAATCAGAAGGCCATTAACTCTTTTTTGGATCTTATATAAGTAAGGATGTAGAAACTTTGAACTTTGGTTCAAAGGCTGAACATGAAAGAGGGCACCGCCAAATCTTTGAGTGACCCTGGATGAGCCAGCTAAACTAGACATTGCATCTTGTATCCATGCATAACAGGACGCAACATTCACTCACTTCAGGGCAGAGAGACCAACTTGATGAAGTAGATACCTTCTGATGACGAATACTACTATATACGAGTACTATTTGTGTAATGAATTATGACTGCTTCTACTATACCCCTCCTCCCCTATGACTACTTCTATTCCTGCTAGTTACTCCTGCTGCCTGCTGTTCTGACCTTTGCTCTAAGACGACGGCTAATACTACCACTATTCCTACGACGACGTACTTAGTACTACACAGCCAGTACCCTGTATCACCCCTATATAACCCTATATAACCCTATGTAACCTACATAACCCCAATATTACCCTATATAACCGCAATTGGTCCATCAGACCAGCTTGCCCCTTTCTCGTACAACAAACAACCTGTGGCCCCTGTACAGGCTGGCTATGCTGCGCGGCGCCATAGGCCTGACAGACAGCTACCTAGCAGAACGAAGAATGAGAGATCGGCAAAGGCGTTGCGCATCTTTCATATCCGAGATATCTCCCTAATCTCGTGATGCTAGACAACATCATCCGCGGAAGGAGGTTCGGATTAGAGGTCGATTGCTAGGTTGTCCTGACAGCGTGGTGCTCTTTCGCGCCTAGTTTTGCACTGTAGCTTACCAACCAGCAGAAGGTACACGCATTCTCGGCGCAAAAGCTGTTTTTCTCTTGACTTAAGGAGAACCATTTCTTTTGCATTCAGAGTGAGCTCTTCGTCTCATGGTTCTGGTAGATGGTAAGCGATTTCCTGTCACTGGCCGCATTGAAGCACACTCTCAGCTGAGGAACTTGGGCACGTTCTGGAAGGGTCGATGGACCCTTCCGCTTTTCCAAGCCTTCCGAGAAGACCGGGTGGGAAGGACCCCAACAAAGTACTGCACACATCCTAGGCCCTAGCTCCGAGAATCTGTGCACGTATCATCTTGGGCGTGGTTTTCCTGCTGCAGCATTAGGTTGGTTTGTTGTTTGGTCTTCCTTGTTGTTGCGCTGGTTACATTGAAATATTGAACAGGGGCAGGCAGCGCAAGCAGCGACGTGAAGAGCAATCATCAGACTTATCCCTTAATATCATTCTTATTGTACCAGTAGTATCCACTTCTACCTTATCATTATTTCTTCGGACCGCCACTGTTGGTACTGTTGCCACCTTGACGACAATGACAACTACCAGTTGCCGGATCAACTGCTACGGATTTTCCAACTGCTGATGGATATCCACTCCTTTTTCGCATTTGTGCCATGCAGGGTGCCCGAGCAATACATTCACGGTTCAGTGTCTGGGGTATGATTGGCATTGGGAGCATTTAACGTGAGCTCATGTCAGGGCCAGATTGCCCCTCATCAAAGAGAATAGTTTTTTCAAGGTAGTGGTAGTCCATACCCATACTCAATCTCTTGAGCTTCAGCCCCGCTCAGAATGTCAGCGCCATCCAGCTAGCTAATACTTGCTCTCATTCAGATCTAGCGAGCCTGGAGAAGCCCCTTGGCAGTGCTGCTGTTTCCCAAATTAGGGGTACCTCCTTATTGGGGGTCCCAATAATAAGGACATGAGCATTTCGAAGTCTATATTGGGGTCCCTTATTTTGGGAAACTACCACTTTGTTCATGTCCTCACCGTTCGTCTTCCTACCTGATCAAGCACATGCTGCAAGCCGGCTTCGGCAATGCCTGAAGCAAGCAGTGGCAGGGGTGTGGGATCTCGGTGGCTTTGAGTGGGCCTGGACTAGACCTGATGAAGGACACACTTCAGCTTTCAAGAGGAGACTTGAGAAAGCCCCAAGGATTGCTTGCTCTTCAGTAGCTCCCTCGGCATCAGGAAGTTTGAGAGCCATTTATTGTCAAATCGTTGATTCTGGTAGGGCTACAATGGCATTGGGGAAATCGTTTGTCGAAGTACTATCGGCAGCGGTGGCACTGGCAGCCTCACGTAGCAACGAGTTTCAAAGTGGTGGTAGCTTTGGAGAAGCAGGATAGGTAGTTGCCGTGGTGTTGTTGGCGGCAGTGGCAATGCAAGCAACAGTTAAAGTAATGGTACGGGAAGCAGGGGACAAGGAGTACTGGCAAACATCAGGCTCGTGTTACTGGCCAATTCTTTGTCAAGGCACGTCTGCGCTTCCTAGCGGCTAGAGACTCTGCTCGCCGCATGCAGTGCGGGCTATTGCCGTTGAGTTTTGTGGCAATGTGTCGGGCAGCTTCTCAAACGCAAAATGTGTCAAATCTGATTGCCTCGAGCATTTGCAGTGCACGGTATGAGTTTACAGCCCTTACCGAACCAGACGTAAGCCAATGCCAAATTGTTGCAAGGCAACCAAGCTCAGAGTCGTAGCAGGCGTGCGTAACCAGAATGTCAGCCCGTTCAGGCTCAGGCGGCGCTAGGCTTGGGGTGAACAAGGTCTGAAGTCTGAACCGGCCAACGTTTCAGACGCCGCTCGGCCAGTTGCTTCTGTTGTAGTCGAATTCTCGGATCTTCCCAGGGGCGCCTCCCTCGGTAATTGCGAGATGTCAGCCATGCAGGTCAAAGCCAGAGGCGTCGAAAATAGTTAGGCACAAGCTCTTGGCTTGACAGTCGCAATCGGCGCCTTTGGCGCAAGATGCTGAAGTAGACCTAGTAGGATGGTGCAGCTTGGTGTCTGGAGATACGACTGAAGAACATCGAGCACCCGCATTAGTGACCTCTTGACACCATGCTGGCTGGCAGTTGAACGGCTGGGGCGGAACTCTGAAGAGATCTGCCTGCAGTTGTTTGTTGGTGGCCCACTGGACATGCCAGCCGGCATGGGGCTTCGGATGCCATGACTCATCGGCTGCAAGCATTTTGTAGCAACAGATCACATATTCATACGCAAATGTGAGCGGAACCTTCTGGGTTCCCTCATATAGTGGCATTAGCCGCGTGGACGATAGCGATGTGAGGTCAAGTCAATAAAACAAGTCGAGCGGTATTGGCAGCAAGCCCCGCGCTACTGGTAGAGGGGCGACTACAGCCGTGGGACCAAGAAAGTGCTGTTGTGTAGCAGTCTTCAGCTGAGGAGATCCCTTATCTTGTCCGCGTGTCCCATTGACGCCGACACTTGAGGTATGAACGCCGCGAACTTTACCACCTTCTCCACTGGCATTGGGTGCCAACCTTGTTGTTGAGCATCCTCTCCATGGCCGCATTCAGCGTGTAGTGTACAGATCTCCGCAGTCGAAAGAGCAGTTTCGCATTGTTCGCTGGTCTGCTTTCCGGCATTCAGCTGCATCCAGATTTGCACGTGGGCAGGTCACATGGATGGATCTTGGGCCAGAAGTACCTGCAGGACGCGACGCTAGCTGATTAGGGAGTTCAGCTGCATCGTGCTAAGTGCCAAGCTGCGTTGACTTTTTAAGCCTGCTCGGTAGGATGGGCATAGGGCAGCATTTGACGACTGAATTTGGAGGATCACCCGAAGGAATACTACAGGATGCAAGGCTCGACGGCGTTGCCCTTGCGCTGGCTGTGATACAAGACATCCAACTGGGGATTTCGGCTGCTTGCCATTCCAGTTAGAAGTCGCTGCCCGCAGACATGGGGTTGATGAGACAGCTCCCGACAAACAAGGCTGCACAGCACTCAGGTGGACTCATACTCTCATATAGTGCCGAGCCATCGCATCAAAGCTAGCCAGTTGTGCCCAAGGACAAGGAGTTGGACAAGCCTGCCTACGTTTATGATGTGGCCCCTGCCTGTTTTTTCGGTTGGCCTGCAAACATTGCAAGACTTTGCAATTTTTGCGCTCATTGCTGGTCAGTTCTTGTCCGACTCGACAAGTGAATCCGGCGAGCAATCCTGGGCTCACGGGGCACCCTTTGGCTGTAGGTCGGC